AAAAAAAAAAAAAAAAAAACCAAAAAAAAAACACAAAAGCAAAAAAAAAAAAAAAAAAAAAAAAAAAAAAAAAAAAAAAAAAAAAAAAAAAAAAAACAAAAAAAAAAAAAAAATAAAAAAAAAAAAAAAAAAAAAAAAAAAAAAACAAAAAAAAAAAAAAAAAAAAAAAAAAAAAAAAAAAAAAACAAAAAAAAAAAAAAGAAAAAAAAAAAAAAAACAAAAAAAAAAAAAAAAAAAAAAAAAAACAAAAAAAAAAAACAAAAAAAAAAAAAAAAAAAAAAAAAAAAACAAAAAAAAAAAAAAAAAAAAAAAAAAAAAAAAAAAAAAACAAAAAAAACAAAGAAAAAAAAAAAAAAAAAAAAAAAAAAAAGAAGAAAAAAAAAAAAAAAAAATAAAAAAAAAAAAAAAAAAAAAAAAAAAAAAAAAAAAAAGAAAAAAAAAACAAAAAAAAAAAAAAAAAAAAAAAAAAAAAAAAAAAAAAAACAAAAACCAACCAACTACACAAAAAAACACTACAAACACAAAAAAAACACAAAACAAAAAAAAAACACAAACAAAAAAAAAAAAAAAAAAAAAAAAAAAAAAAAAAAAAAAAAGCAAAAACAAAACCCCCGAAACACCCCCCAACCCCCAACCCCCCCCCCCCCCCCCCCCACCCCCCCACCCACCCCCACCCCCCCCCCCCCCCCCCCCCCCCCCCCCCCCCCACCCCACCCACCCCCACCCCCCCCCCCCCCCCCCCCCCCCCCCCCCCCCACCCCCACCCCCCCCCACCCCCCCCCCCCCCCCCCCCCCCCCCCCCCCCCCCCCCCCCCCCCCCCCCCCCCCCCCCCCCCCCCCCCCCCCCCCCCCCCCCCCCCCCCCCCCCCCCCCCCCCCCCCCCCCCACAATCCGACACTGGCTTCAGCGAAGTCTCATGATCCCGACGACTGGAATGTGCAGGTCCTCAACACATCTGTTACAGCTCACATACAGTACAACGCCTCCGCCTTGGCGACCAATGGAGCGATCAGTTCTAAGCAGCGCGTAGCCAGGTAAACATACCTCAACGTCCGTGACATCCGGAGACAACCACGTTTTATTGAAAGTAAGTATGTCGTAACGAGATTTGTCTGCAAGTAGACCCAACTTGTGAACCTTGTTCCTTAGACTACGCACGTTGCTAAGTACTACCTCAAGGAAGTTGGCACGACCATCCCTGGGTCGTGCGCCATCAGAATGGGTTCTGATAGGGCGGAAGATAACTTCCGGCTGACCACCTGAAAACCCACCAGACGGAGGCCTTGCTCACCAGCCGCCCGTCTAGTTTTGATGTTTTTGATAGCCTCCTTTAACTTCCATCTATCTGCCAGTGGTAGGTCCGGCTTAACGCTTACACCACCACCCTTAAGTTTGAATGCAAACAGCAGTAATGATTTGCGTTCTTCCGGGGTAGAAAGAGCTACGCGAAGTAGTCGGGGTCGTGGATTTGGCGTAGCGATAGGGACGTTCCCCAATCTGGTCAGCTTTCTGACAGTGACACCAGGGAAGCCAGGTGGAAGCAGCTTGCTGACACAGTTTCAGCCACTTGATGTCATCCAAGATGCGTCCCCTTGGGAGAACGGCCACAGATTCAGTAACGTTAAGGAATATAACGCTACTATCCGTGAAAGAGTCGGCACGACGGGGAGTGTTTACCCCACGTGTTTTTGATTCGGCACCTATACCAGATGTTTTCACCACTGGCGGTGGGACTGTCCATGTCTTCACAAACGACGTCGAAGCGACGGTAGCGAAGATTTTCGGCGCCATTGCCGGCGTCTTACTAGTTCCTGGGTCTTCAATCCCCTTCAAAGTTTTACGAGCTGATCTAGTCCGCTTCTTCTTCTGGTTCACTGGAGCAGAGGTCGTTGATCTTGTATCGCATTGGGCAGTTACCAGCACTTCGACAGAACGGGCTGGATCAGTGGCGGCCGAGACGGTCAGCATCTTCGGGAGGTTCTCCTGTGCACAATCATCAGACGACTTTATGACTGTCAAAGACGGCATCTTTTTCGATGTCGTGGCAAATAATTCTCTGGGTTTAGCAGAGGGCTTTTGGTATTTCCGCACCCTGTTTCTCTTCACTTTGATCGGCTCATGAGAATAGCCAGCAATGCTACTTGGATTGGCCGGTAGGATGTGCGACTTCATGACCGAGTGACAGACCGCAGCGGATGGATCGTCAGCAATGTTGTCGTCTATTGCAGTGTATTCGCTTCGGCGGTACATATACTAAAATTGGAATGACACAGGGAAGATTAGCATGGCCCCTGCGCAAGGATGACACGGAAAATCGTGAAGCGTTCCATATTTTTCGTCATCACCGCCACACGCTATGACCGCTGCATGCGTACGCATCCACACTCACAACATGCAACGGCGTTGGCGAGCTTATATGCATGCTCGAATGACGCAATCCTCTCGTGTCGCATGTGGCGCACAACTGTGTCCGCGGTAGTGCTGACAATGACCACGATATGGAACGTGGTTGTCTCCGGATGTCACGGACGTTGAGGTATGTTTACCTGGCTACGCGCTGCTTAGAACTGATCGCTCCATTGGTCGCCAAGGCGGAGGCGTTGTACTGTATGTGAGCTGTAACAGATGTGTTGAGGACCTGCACATTCCAGTCGTCGGATCAGACTGCTGAAGCCCTATCGGATGTTTTGTGCACTTCCTCTACCCATTTTACAGTTATAGTGACATACAGAAGTCCTGGAAGGTCTTTCCAGGGGGATACTTGACTTTATTCGCACTCAGTCTGCGAATAAGTGTTTAGTTCTAGGGGATTTCAACCTCCCGCAAGTCTGTTGGGCCGATCTTTCTTGCAATTCGGCATTAGGAACATTCGGTGCAGACTTTCTTGAACTGACTCTCCAAGTGCCTTTGCACCAGTTCGTGTCCTTTCCCACTAGGTATATGGACAATCAAAAGCCATCTACTTTAGATTTGGTTTTCGCTAAGTCCCTCGACTTCGTGACTGACATTTCATACGGTGCACTTCTAGGGTCCAGCGATCACACATGCATATCCTTTCGATGTGCTCTTTCAAGGCACCAAGAGACCGCTGTTGAATTACTTCCGAATATTTGGCGGGCGGACTTTAGTGCAATGCGAGCTAAGGCTTCGGTTCTGAACTGTGAGATCTCGATGGCTGACTCTGTCCAGTTAGCCTGGGATAAATTTAAGGCATATTTTACGGAGGTTTCCACTCCCTATATTCCACTCATGAGGAAAAGAGGGTTAAAGGCACAGCCTCCATGGATAGATACCACAGGCAAGTACCTACTCAAGAAACGGTCTAGATGCTGGCGAACCTACCAAGCAGCTCCATCAGCCAGCAACTATGATAGTTATCGAGAGATTAGAAAAAAAATGCAAGCAACATCTCAGAACTGCTCGCCTCCAGTACGAGCAGGGTTTAGCGGTTTAGGCCGCAGCTAATCCCAAGAAGCTTTTTGCTTACGTTAAAAGACGCAGTGGGGCAAAACTGTCTATACCAGCGTTATTACGAGCAGACGAGACCCGTGAGCAAACTGACTATGACAAGATTTGTATACTTAGTGATCAGTATACTCGAGTCTTTGCTCGGGATACCTCTTCACCACAGGTTGAATTGGTTTCAAGAGTTCCAGAGGATTATTGCTTAGCTGAGTTTAGCATAACGGAGTCTCAGGTCTTCGAGCTACTGCAAGGCATTAATCCCTCTAAAGCTTCCAGTCCTGATTCAATTCATCCGAAGCTGTTGCATGAATTGGTCACTGTTTCCAATATCGCTGGACAGCTGCATCCTACCTTCGGAATGGAAGGAGGCAATCATCTGTCCGGTTTTTAAGGGCGGTGGCAGCGCTCTACCCGCGAACTACCGGTCTGTCAGTTTGACAAGCGTAGTAGTCAAGTTGTTTGAAAAGCTGATAAGGGATTCAGTGCAGAACCACCTGAATAGAATCGTGCTTCTCAGTGTTGCGCAACATGGATTCCGCAAAGGATTTTCATGTCAGACTAATCTACTTGTAGCTCGTGAAAGCTGGGCCGAAGCGGTAGACAGTGGCCACGCTGTAGACGTGCTATTCGTAGATTTTTCGAACGCTTTTGACACTGTTCCACATCTTCGTCTCTTACGGTATATCTGATCGCGCCCTTCAGTGGGTGTCTGCCTTCCTTGAGGAAGGGGGAACAGTGCGTACGGGTGGGGCCGTAGCCTTTCGCTCAGGAAAGCTGTCCTTAGTGGCGTCCCGCAGGGCTCGGTATTGGGGCCATTGTTATTCGCGATCTATGTAAATGACTTGCCGGGAGAGCTAGGGGTGTCATCACTAATGTTTTCTGACGACCTTAAGCTCTGGAATATTGTGGATATCCCGGGGTCCTGAGGCAATTCAGCATGCCTTGGATAGGCTTTGGGAATGGTCTACCTTATGGTTGATGCCCATAAATAGGGCCAAGTGCTCTGTTCTCCGAATCGGAGCTGCTAATCCTCCCACTCGATATGTTGTCCGCGGTGGTGAACTCCCTGTTGTCACTCAGTAGGTTGATTTAGGAGTCGTACACGCATCAGCACTTCATTCTGGAGACAATTGGAAGAAGGCTGCTTGTCGAGGGTTTCGTATGATGTGGTTTATCCGCCGCTCTTTCGGAATCCTAACGGCGAATTTGTTTGTGAAGCTATTCTCGGCATTCGTCCGACCCCACCTGGAATATTGTATTCAGGCTTGTCCACCATGTCTTAACCGAGACAAAATGGACTTGGAGAGGGTGTTACGAGTGGGCACTCGGCTAATGCAGGATCTACGGGGACAGACGTATCCTAAACGCTTGCTCAGTTTGGGTATGTACTCCATGCACTACCGAAGGATACGAGGGGATCTGATTCTCACTTATCGTAATTTGACGGGTAAGATTGGCCCGGACTTGTCAGGGTTATTTAGTCTCGCTACGTTACCTAATCTCCGCGGTCACCTACTGAAACTGCATAAACCACGGTCTGATAAGATTAGGACGGAAACTCGTCTGCCGCGCCGAGTTATAGATCGCTGGAATTCGCTTCCAGATCACGTGGTTACGGAACCTACGGTTAAGGGTTTTGCGCGCCAGCTCGATGCTCTTGGGTGGCAACAGCAAACTTTTCCTTTTTCCTAGCTAACTCACCTTCACTTTTCAGTTCTTTTTTAATGACTCAAATATCTTGGTATTCCACTTTCTTAGCTTTTTCCACTTTCTCTTTTGCCTTGAGTTTACTTTTTTTCTTTCCTACTTCACGTAACCGGCCCAGCAGGGACTGCTAGGGCAGGATACGTGGGCATTAATTGGTTGGACAGGTGTGATGCGGTGTTTGTTTTAGGTCCATCAGTATTTCAAACTCCACCAACTTCAGGTTCAACGACCCGCCGAAGAAGGAACACTCACGGGATAATCCTATCGTTCCAGTCGCGCTTGAACTTGTCTTCTATAGAAATCTTCAGGGATTTTAAAATCAAATCTATTTTCGTTTCGAGCGACGCAATAGAGTCGAGTTTGGCTATCCCTTTCTCAGTATCTGCCAACCGTGAATGCAGCGCTGAAAGTTTGGAACCGGTGATAGCCGGGCGCGTCTATCTTTGAGCGCAGCATTCAGCACAACTGAAAAGAAAGTGAACGGTGGATGATAGCATTTTGTACTAGTCAGCTTGTTAGCCGGTACAGCTTTCGTGATACCAGCGGCAGCAGACGTCGCACTGCATTCCGCCAGATAAATTTTACTGGCTCTGAACGGTTAACCTGTCCGCAAGCTGCAGTAGATGCATCAAACGAGGACCCCATAGGTCCGTCTGCCTCGGTGGTTAGCGAGACAGTCATGTTCTTGTGGAAAACAGAGTAGAATTACAACACGTATACAATAG